TGGGACCGTTGCCACCATCGAACGGCAACCGCTATCTGCTATCAATCATCGACCGTTTTTCTCGATGGCCTGAAGCCGTACAACTTCAAGACATGACTGCTGAGACTGTCGCTCGGGCTATGTGCGTTATCTGGATTTCTCGTTTCGGCGTACCAGAAACAGTCACCACGGATCAAGGAAGGCAATTCCAATCTGATCTGTTTCGTGAATTGGCTAAAGCGATGGGTTCCAAACACATCCGAACAACGGCAAACCACCCACAATCAAATGGTTTGGCGGAGCGATTTCATCGAACCTTGAAAGCTGCAATAATGGCTGTTGATTCGAAGCACTGTTGTGATCAATTACCGATGATAATGCTGGGATTGCGTACGTCTTTCCGATCGGATTTTGATTGTTCAGTTGCGGAGTTGGTGTATGGTCAAACGTTGCGGATTCCCGGGGAGTTTCTAGAACGTTCAAGTCAGGATATCGATAGAACGGATTTCGCCAAGCAAATGCGAGACATGTTTAGCAAGCTGAAACCAGTTGATCCTGCTCACCATGCAAAACCAGCCGTGTTCGTGAACCCCGAGCTTAACAAGTGCAGCCACGTCTTTGTTAGGATCGACGCAGTCTGGTGCAACCGCATGAAGGACCATTTGCAGTAGTGAAGTGATATGAGAAGTACATGGACGTGAAAATCAATGGGAAGGTACAGAGGATTTCAATAGATCGCTTGAAACCAGCTTTCATTTGCGATCAAAGTATAAGTGAGCATCCATCACCAGATCAGAATACCAAAATTACACCATTAGGACATAGAGTCAGGTTCCTAGTGTAATTAAGGGGGGGACTATGTGGTGTGCACTGCCAACACTGGACAACAGCGCACACCAGAATACACCCCTGCATCAAAAGCAACCATGTTGATATAAGTTAGTAAGTTTGGGACAAGGGAGAAATAAACACGTTGTAAAGTCACAAACGTTTTCGATTTATTCTATCGCGGAATTCTCCTTCCGGTCCCCACACGTACAACGAAGGATCAGCGCAGAATCTTCTGCGGGAGTTGAGCTACATTAATAATTCTGTTATGTAGAATGAACAATAAAGAAGAAACAAAGCTTATCATAGGGGGCAACCAGATTCGAATCCCGGTCTTACCTAATATCTTCTGGGATGGGAATTTTCAAATTTTTTCCCGCTGTTTTTCTCGGATATTCATTCCAGTATTTAATCTCAATTGGCATGGACTTCGATGGTGTATCCACTGGACTTTATATGCTTGATCTTATAATTTTGAAAGATGTCTCAGTACTGGTGGGGGATGCCAATACGTATTGATCCCAAATATATAAGCTCTTGAATTATGAATCACCAACGTTTGACCTCTGTGTGGAGCTGAGTGGATTGGGCGAAAACTTCTAGAAGTCTATACAGCACTTCTGCTGAATCCTATTTTCCAAGCATGACAGATCCTAAGGGGTAGATGTTTGATAGCTTTAATCGGTGGTACATTGCAGTAGGAACCATAACTGCTTGGTAGGCTTGAACGGTTGGTGGTAGAAGGCATCATAATCAGCGCTATGATGGGCTTGGGTGATATCTTTGAGGATCCGCACTTCTGAGTCGATCAGATGATTTAAAACTGATTCGACGATGTTACTCCTAGGATGGGATTGAACTCTCGCCCGTTCGAGTTATGGGGAGGATTTAATATACAGACATTTCATTCATCATCGATCGATCCTTTGCTCCTGTACACCTGGAAGGAATCAACAGTTTAAAGGACATCGAGACAGAATTTTATGGATGCGTTGAATTTGCTTGAACACCTAGATGAACACCCTATAGGTTTGTTGGCTTCCAGTCCTCCACCTCCCATTCCGCTAACGTTCTAATGATAATGCTTGCCATGATCCATCAGAGAAATTGAGAATGTAAACACAATCACAAGTCATAAGTTTCAGGGTTGCCAAACTCATGGAATATTGACCCTGATGGACACGTTCGGCACAGCTTAATCACTCGGCACGAATTAAAGGGTGCAGAGTTGAGTACCCCTTGATAGTGACTTTAATTTCCCCGGCGTATAACCAGTGTTGGCAGTTAAAAGGGTGGAAGATCCGGGGGGTAACAACATGTACCGTATGCATTCTCAAAAATTTCGTTTTCGAGTTTTTTTTTTATTTATTCAAGGGGGGATGTTTTTCAGAGTCTTAAACTATGTTAATCATCGATCGAGTTTCCACTGGCTGCAACTACGGCCTCCACATGCTTCCGGAATGCACGGCAGGTTCTAATGATGTAGTCTGGTTCCATTTCTCTCCAGGTACGGCTCAATGTTTGCCGGAGGCTTGCTGTACTCGGGTGGCGTTTAGAACAGGCCATATTGAGTAATCCAGTGGAGTAAGATCGGGGCTGGATGGCGGCGCGGCCACATATCCTTCGCCCAAAACGGAAGATGTTCCTGTAACCACTTCTGAGTGCGGTTCGAGGCGTGGCACGGATCCCCATCTTGTTGAAATACAACATTTGGCTTCTTACCGTACTGTTCTTTGATCCACGGAAGAACATACTTACTTAAAATACCGATGTAGACCTCCGTGTTGACCTTGTCGCCTTCTGGAATGAACACCGGGTCCATTTTTTGCCATCGGATGCCACCAATCCAAACACCATAACGCTAGCAGGATGCTTGGTCAGATACACGTTTTTGTGCTCGTCGGCCACGTCTGTTACCGGAAGAGAATATACCGGTTGGTTCTGGAATTTGATACGGGATTGACGGTAAACATGCTGTTGTCGGTGAACAGGATTACCGGATTTTTTCGCTTAAGGAAGTTCAAGATTTTCTTGCATCGTTCGACTCGTAGCTCCCGGATGCGGTTGGTAATCAGGTGAGTTTTTTTTTCCGTGCCCTCGACTTCGCCCCGCAATCTTCCTTTACGATCTTCCGTGCCGTAAAGTCACTGATCCCGTGTTTCTTTGCCATTTTCCTTATTGAACGCACTGGATTCACCCGAATCTTCCTTTTGATAGCAGTGATAACCCTCGGAACCCGAGCTGACCTCGGACGAACTGTCGCCACCTTCGCGGATAGTTGTCCTTTCTTTTCTCGGTCTAAAACCCTTTTGACGGTCCACCGGGACACTCCCACGGCGATTGAAATGTCTTTTTGCGACATTTGCGCGTGGGACAAATCACGAATACGCTGCCACTTCGTCACGGTGCAACTGTCAAACTAAGTAAATCATTTTCTTTTATACACAGCCTACTACGGTATGAGCTATAGGTTACGAGCATGCAAAGAAAACCAAGGCATTGTATGCACAGGTGAAACGGGAATTCTCCCTTTTCAAATGTTAGTCTAGAAATAATGCCCAAAAGGCTTTAAAATCACCAAAATAGTATTTAAAATGCCGAAAAGTGCCCACAAGGTTATAACACCTCTCAAAAAAAGTCGAATAAAACCAAAATAGTCTCAAATATCCAACAAGACTAAGACCAAAAAAGCTACACAAATGTCTTTAATTGCCTTAAATGACCTTAAAACGCTTAAATAGCTTTAAATTCTACACCAAAAAACTTTCAAAATTAAAAAAAAAAGCTCAGATAAAATAATCTTAAACCGTGGAAATCTTACCAAGAGTCTTCAGAAAACCGTCATTAACCTCTTTATTACAAATCTGTAGCAATTCTACGAAAAAGTTCAATATTAATTATATTAATGTTCACAACATTGTAAACCACATGAAAATGTCACCAGCAAACTCGGTTCTAGAAATTTCTACCGATTTTCTACCGTTCAACGTTTGTTTGTGACAAGCGACTTTCCAAATATGTAACATGATACTCAGAACTCAAAAGTACCTATAATGTAGTCAGCTTTTCTAGGAAAAATCGTTAATATTTCGTTACTGGCCGGCAACGGACGGCAAGAGCCACACTCGCTTGTCCCGAATTTTAACATTATCACCTTTTCTCCGCTATCCCCTCTGCCGGGCGGACGAAGAAAAGCCATAAAAATCTCGGAACCGAAAATCAACTACCGTGTATCATCATTATCATCAATATTCAGCATGCAGGGAAAACAACAAACATGAAGTGCAGCCGCAGCCCAGCAGCACAGAGTGGCGCGAAGTTTGACAAATCCGACAAAAACTCTTTGATTCTGGAAGCATTTCCTATTGCTTTGACAGGCCTTTTTCAGATTGTTAGTGTTAACAAAATTGCCACCAAGTGGGTGTTGATTTGCTTTTGCAAACGAGGCGGGCTAAGAAGGCGATTTCGTTGAGAAAGTTATGATTCTGAGGAAATGCTACCGTAGAGACATAACAGTGAGAGGATAGATAGATAGAGAGATAGATGACCTTACGTTACTGCAGAGCAATTGTTGTAACTTCGCTTTAGATTTTTGCTCCGTTTGGAAGCAACTAATTTAAATACTTTCTAAAAATCTACCATTTTCCTTATTCGAACCCACCCTGTGTCAGGCAGCAACAGCGGACGCAGTCAGTGTACCGTTCACCGACCAGTCCGGGGGGTTTTCGGTTGGTGTTGGCTTTCTCCGGGGGGTGCGCTCTGCTCTGTGTCGATATGTACCTATGTATGTATCTCTGATTCGGAAAAATTACTACCGTAACGTGTTTTCAGATTGGTCTATAACTAAAATCGATCTGCCATAGTGAAGCCAGCCTTGCACCAGTCTGATGGACGAGCCGCACCAGGTGAATCATCCGCCGTCCGAAACGGGTTGAAATGTAGTTGTTGATACCACCCGGGCGATAGCGGTACGGCTAGGTCATAAATAAGAGTTTAAATTTTCCACTAACTGTTAATCAATCGTTTGGTTTCCCCAGCACAAATGGCAGACGCAAAATGAATGATTAAGGAATTCTATTGACACACATAGGTATCGGCAACGCTAAGCTCAAGAAGAGTATCCACTGCGCAGGGTTAGTTGATGTGATAATGATTACTAATTGACATAAGTATAATAATAATAGTTGACTCACCAGATTTTTGCTAACATCCTCCTGTGCCTTTTCCGCCTTCTTATCGCCACGTTCCAGCGAGTTGACCGCTTCCTTCAGTGCCTTCACCAGCTCCTGGGGACTTTTCTGGGATTTGCCAAAAAGAGGCATTCTGTGGCAGCTGCTACTTCTTCTGGCGCCGGGATTCTATTATGCTGGAGGTGGAAATCACGATCGTCACTTTTCTTCTCTCTCGCTATAATTGCCGTATTGCTTCTTCTCACTTATTCCTTAATATTTTTTGATCATACACCTGTAGATATTTTAAGAAAGGGGGGAAAGGGGGGGTTGTTGCTGCTTCACTTATCACTTTTCTGAAATTCGGATGGCTTGACTTGTTCGCGCACTGATCTTTCACTATATGATTACCGCTTTGTTTCTCTCTTTCTCTCTCTCTCTATCTGGCTTCAATCGAGCGAAGCAGGTTTCACTTGGCACGTGATGAGCGGCACGAGGTGGTGGAGATCTGATAAAATTTCACAAAAAACACAGCCACACGTGGTGGTGTGGGGTTCGATTAGGAGGAGGGAATCGAACGCTTATCTGTTTGTGGCAGCAACAGCTTTCGGCCAGGCGCGAAATGATTCAATTGGTTCGAAGAATTCAAAGTATCCGGGCAGGATTGGGTGGTTGATGAATGGAATTTATGACTACCATAATGACTCATTTGTGATTACAACAAACCTGGGACTTAGCATCATAATTATCGAAGGTTTTTCCAGAAGAAATATCAGCCCCTCATCTCGATTCTTAATGTTTTTGGAATGATTCAGAAATTCAGAATGTATTCCCATGACTCCAGAAAGCACCGTCAGTGGCATTGGCTTGAAGAACATTTGGAGTGGGTTGAGTATTTTCCTATTTATTCCATTGTAACTAATTGCTTATCTTTTGAAATGTATACGTATGTTGGTCACCTGTTGTAGACTTCGTCAGTGCTTAGAATTCAATGGTTAAAAACAAAGAGTGATTTTTGAGTACTAGGAACTAAGGCAATCTACAAGAGCTGTCTAAAGATAAGCAATTATAGCAGATCTATACGGAAGTTACTAAGTCCACTCGAAATCCTTCCTAATTATGATCGGCTTTCTGTTGCGCCAAAACATGATCAAAGCAACGGTTTCTAACTCATTTCAGTCTCTAATCTTGTAGCTCTAGCAACTCAGCCGAGGTCGGTGGGATTTTTCTGAGGCATAAACATCTCTGGTTACGTCTTCCTTCGGAAGTCCGGAAGTCCTTCGGAAGGGAAGTAAAGCCGGTGGTGCAGGTGTGAAAGCTGCCTTCCTGCACATTCGATTGCCGTCAATGGATGGCAATCGATGTCCGTCGGTGATTGGCACTAGATTGCGGAACAGAGACCGACGTTAAATAAAAGAAAAAGATACATTGACAGACTTTCGCGTGATATTGACAAAATTGGTTTTTCACATAGTCACTGACTGATTCTCAAAAAACTGTTGTCAAAATCTCATTCATTTTTTCGTCAATGACAAAGATTCACCTGGTAACAAAAAGTGTTATTTCGAGCATTCTGAGTCAGATTATTGTTATCCGAGCAGTTCAGTACGTAAATGCTTGTTCACTTTAACAGCTTAATGTAATTGTTATGCTCAAGTAAATTCAATTCGTTTCAAATTTAGCTCATAAAAATATCTGCACAATTGCGTCAGTGACAGCATTGTCACTGACAACTGACATGGTTCGCCTTGACGATGACTGTTAGTTCAAATGAGTGACCAACTGGGTACTGGTAGAGTCGGTGTTTAATGAGTCACGCCAAGAGAAAAACAGTTGAACTCGCATCACGGTTTTCAAAAGATTCAATTTCTTTTCACTTGGCAACAGAGGACGTCTACATCAACTTCAAATGACTTCTAGCGAGAAAAAAATAGCAGCTGTAGTAAATCATTATATCAGTGATTTTGTCAAATTATCTTAACAAAAAATAGTATAAATTCTCATTACTGATCATTACCAAACTAATCCCATGACAATTTAATGCTCATGCTCTGCGTGTTTATAATCATTTCTTCGATTATATTTTATATTTTATTGCAATACCTTTCGTGGACCTTTCATAGCATCTTAATGTTTGTTTACTTTGCACGATAGGTAGCCGGTTTGACAGTACAATAGGTAGACTTGGCTTCACTCTTGGCGTGACTCATTATACACAGACTCTATGTACTGGGTACACCAAAAATACGTATCCATTTCAAATTAGTTGATTTATGCATCCCTATTTTCTTTAAAATACATTATTTCTCGACCAACAATATAAAAGGGCGCATCACATTTTATAAAGAAAACTTATAATGGTCTTTTCTCGAAGTTCGCCTTGCCAAACCAACACAACAAACACCATACGGGGTATTGGAACACGAATATGATCGAACTTGCATTAGCCTCGGATGTTTTTTTCGTCGAAAGTTGGTCAATAGGGTTAGAAACAAAATGCAGAATATTTGAAAATATTTCATCGGCGAAAATTAAAAATTAAGTGCATTAATATTTTACCTCTTTAATACTGTTGTGGATATAATCCTGAACACTCAATATGATCACAAATGAACTTTTTTTTTAGTTCTCAGCAGCGTTGCCAGATATACCGATTGATCGGTATTTATACCGATTTCTGAACTAGATACCGATATACAGATAAGATTCCTCAGAATACCGATTTTTTAAATGATCAAAATTATTATTGCCTAACCGCGCTCGAATTTCGGAGAGAATTACTGTGAGAGACTTGTATCTTTTTAAATAACCTAAAATTTTGGAGGCCTCAAAATTCTTTAAAAAAAAATCATTTTTGAAAATGTCATATGCTTGATACTCTTTTGACTAATGCTTCCATTTCTTCACCGTTTTTGGCTACCCATGAATCGAGAAACTGTCGATGGATCTTTCTGGTTATTCTTAGAGAATCGCGAAATACTTTTTAAACATTATTCATTTTTGTTCATTTTTACTGATGCTACGCGTGAAATACTTCAGGCGACCCCCCGGTAATCCCGCGTAGGACCGAAAGAGGAAAAGGAAGAGAAGAAATTTAGTGGAAATAAAAGTTTTGTTCTGCACACACGCGTTTTGATTCAATCACCAGCAAATCTTCCGAAAACCAATTCTTATGATATTTTTCTGTGAACATTTTGGTCCATTCGAACCGGATGAACATTTTGTGAGATAGATAGAAGATATGGCGAAGAACCTGGATAGGTTGATTGACCAGCGTGATTTGGCGAAGGAAAAGATGATTCGGATTCAAGAGCGATTGGATCAAGAAAACATCAGTATTCACTGGCTCAAATTGCAACTCGAGACTCTCCGCCGGTGCAACGACGATCGGCAGAAGTCATACCTGGAGATTTGTGAACTCGTTTCGAGGGATCAACGTGACGAGTTTAGAAGAGACTACTTCCGAAACGAGGAACTGTACAACGAGCTGTTTGTGCAAGTTCAAACGGAAATCGAAAAGTGGAATGTAGAAGAAGAAGACAAACAGCGAAGAAAAATGAATGTGTTGCCGCCTGCTTTCGTGCCGCAGCAACCAGTAGTAGTGATGAATTCGACACCTCATCTGCAGGTACCGCTGCAAACATTCGACGGCAGTCTTGAGAATTGGTACTCATTTAAGTGTATGTTCAATACTATAATGAACAGGTACCCTGATGAGTCTCCGGCGATTAAACTTTACCACTTGAAGAATTGCCTTGTTGGAAACGCTGCTGGTAAGCTTGACCAAGACGTAATCAACAACAACGATTACGATTCGGCATGGCAATGAATTGCGGAACCTACTCGATACCTGTACCAAAAATATTGACGCTTTGAAGAATCGAGAGCTAACTGTGGGAGGACTTTCGGAAATGATACTGGTCAATGTAATTTCCAAACAGTTGGATAAAGAAACAAGGAAACTGTGGGAATCCTCCCAGTGGATGAGCTGCCTACGTATGCTGATATGGTTGATTTCTTACGCGAGCGAGGTCGCATTCTGCAGAAAATGAAAGGCTACAATAAACCACGACCTCCCGCTCCAACGAAGCTGAAAAGTAAACCGGAACAGAAAACTACTCAAGGGAGGAATTTCATACAAACATCCAACCAGGCCAAAGATGCATGTTTCTGCTGCAGTGGTGATCACCTGATCTACAAGTGTGACATTTTCCAAGGACTCACTGTCAATGAACGGTTCATCAAAGCGAAGCAAATCGGTCTTTGCTTCAATTGCCTACGACGCGGCCATCGTACGGGTGAGTGCAATTCTGAAAGGACGTGCAAAACGTGCAAGCGAAAACATCATACTCTCCTGCATGAAGATAAGCCCACAGCTTACAAGACACTGGTAAGCCAATCAACTGCGTCAGTTCCCGCCGTTGCAGAAGATCATCGTGAGATTGCTGTACAAACACATGGATCTATCAACTGTGCAAATTCGTTCATGCTGAAACAACATGTGCTCCTTTCGACCGCAGAAGTGCTTGTGTGTGACTCCGGAAATAAAACTGTGGTATGCCGTGCCTTGTTGGACTCAGGATCTGATACGAACTTAATCTGTGAAGGTCTTGCGAGAAAATTGAACATTGTCATGGAAAACGTCAACATCCCAATCAGCGGGGTCAATAACGCTGAAACGCAAGTTAAGTATAAGCTTTGTGCAAATTGTCGGCGGTCCCGTCAAGGTGGATCAAGGCGGTCCGAATCTTAGAGTTTGCCAATTAAACGTCACCGACGAACAACTCAATCGCACCCTCGTGAAATTCTGGGAGTTGGAAACATGCCAGGAAGCCTTACCATACACACTAGCAGAACAAGCCGTAGAGAAACATTACGAGCGAACATTTTCCCGTGAGGAAACAGGTCGATACACTGTCAGACTGCCATTCAACGAAAACAAGGGTCAACTTGGCAATTCCTTGGAAACCGCACGGACACGTTTCAATCGTCTACTACGATCGATCGTCAACGAAAACAAGAAGAATCGATACACTGAATTCATGACAGAATACTTGGCCCTCGGTCATATGAGTGAGGTCCATGACAATCCCAATGATTGCTACTTCTTACCTCATCACGCCGTTTACAAGGAGTCAAGCTCGACGACAAAAATCCGTGTAGTGTTTGACGCTTCGGCGAAGACCACGTCAGGTCTCTCGCTGAACGATGCTTTAAAGACAGGACCAACAGTGCAAAACGACCTTATTACAATTCTCCTCCGATTTTGCTGCTTTCCTGTGGCAATAAGAGCAGACGTTCCGAAGATGTATCGTCAGGTGTATGTTCACAAAGATGATAGGAAGTATCAACGCACTCTATGGCTGAATTCAAATAACGAAGTCGGAACATTCGAGTTGACAACTGTAACGTACGGTTGTTCCAGTGCACCATACCTGGCAACGCGCACATTGATGCAATTGGAAAAGGATGAAGCATCTGAGCTGCCCCTCGCAGCCAGAGTCATTG